CCATCCAGCACAGCTATGGGACTGCAGATGCCGAGGCAGACAGTGATGGTGAAGTGCATTCAGGTAAAGCATTGATGTGTTTTTGTATGTTGAATAAAGACAGTCCTAGTCCTAGTTGATGAATTCATTTTAAAATACTACTGACAACAGTTTTTCATCCTTCTGAAAGGTTAGCTTTGTTCAACGTGCACACTTTCGTGTGGTGGGCATACTTTCTTGTTGTTTAGATTTTTGTACATTTCTTCATTGCAGAGGAGGAGGAGGGTGCCAGGGCTACTCTGGTAAAAGACAGCCAGCTCATCGTAAGGGAAGACAGGAGAGTGGGTAGAGTTGTGGGTTTGGGTCCGCCAGTCCAAACTACCGGGAACAGCGCTAGCAGAAAACGAAAGAGCCGTGATCCCCCCAAGCAACCCAGAAGGAAAGCAAGAAAAACCAAGAGGCAGGCCTGATTCAATAAGGTATAGATTGCTCTTATAGTATATATATATACATGTACTAGTATAAGAAACAGAAAATGCTAACTGCGCGTTGAGTTGTTTGAGGGCCTGCAAGCCCTTTTTCGTAAAGCGTAATCAGGCCGTTTTAGACTTCGTAATTCGTAGGCAGCCTCCGCAAAAATCAGCGTAATTCGTAATTGGACATTAGCCGCAAATCGTAAAGTCGCAATCAGGTCTCGTAATAGACGGCGAAAATTTTGCGTAATTCGTAATAGACGGCGAAAATTTTGCGTAATTCGTAATCACTACCCCCCTTGCAGGCCCTCTTGTTTATGATCTGAGGTGCTAATCTAATCCCTTTGTTCCGAACACTTGGCAACCCTAGCTGCCACGCGACCACTCGGCATCTCCAGTCACAGCAGTTATGTAAACATGAATACCGAACTGTGCGGTAGAAATAAATGTAAAATACTGTATATCTGAGCTGTGGCCTCTGTTTTCTGTACAGAGATTGTTTATATACTAGTATAAGAAAGAGAAACTGCCCATGTCAGTGTATGTATTTTGTATGTTTGTTTGAAATTGGCAGTAAGAGTATGTGGACCACTCGAGTGACATTTCCAGCAGTGACGTAAACAAGATGTAATGTGCCAGACTTTTCTTGACAAGATGTAATGTGCCTAGACTTTTCTTGACAAGATCTTGAAATGTAAACAGAAATTTTACAGGGCACGTTTCTGATCGAACTGTGCGGTAGAAATAAATGTAAATACTGTATCTTTGAGTTGTGGCCTCTATATATTCTGTACTTGTACGAATGCAGACTCACTATGGTAAGAATTCATTCACCGACAAGTGGCGTCTATGTTTTCTGTACAGATCGTTCATATACTAGAATAAGAGAAACTGCCCATGTCAGTTCATGTTTTTCGTATGTTTCTTTGAAATGGGAAGTAAGTGTATGTGGAACAGTACCATCATTTTATATTCTAGACAGACATAAGTTTTTCTCAGATCAGGCTTATGCTTAGTTATGGATCGAAAATGATCAGTAAACGTTTCCGATTTAGCACGCCTGGTAAAAGCACAAGCCAGGCCTGGAATTTGTGAAAACAGGCTGTTCCCAGCAGGCTTGACTTGCAAAGCCATAAAAGAGCTTACTGAGGAGTTAGCGCCTATCTGAAACTTATTAGATCATCGATTGACATCAGAGGCGCTCTTCCATTTTCACACATTCTGTGGCAGTCAGTAGATAAGAAAAGTGCTGAGCCTTGCTGGGTATCGGTGATTTATGGCCTAAACCACGAGGTGCTAATCGACTACCTAATGTGTCGGCTTCATCTGCGAGAAATTTCGAAGTGACCTTGTTACCAATGAGTGATTTCGGTGGCAACTATTACAGTGTTTCTCACATTTTTTCTTTTTATTTATCCATGATTAATAAAAGAGCTTGAGATCAGACATAGAAAATAGAAAAGTCATAGAAAAGTCACTTCAACAATACACAAACAAACAAATCTGCTGCGCATTTAGATGAAAGACAAAACCGGATGAAGCCATTTGTCAATTTGACAATAATAATGGTGTTTTAACAGTGACCATGTGGGGACTGTTGTGACAGTCTTTCGTTATCAGAAGCTTGATCACAGAACGCAATTTCACAGCGCATGCGTGATGTTTTCGCCTGAGTTTTTAGTCATATCGTCAGTGACTTCGGACAGACCACCTCGTATCAACAGTGCTGTCGCATCCTTCCATCCAACCTCCTTGTTCCAACGCAACAATGGCCGACCTTGAGAATGCAATGGCGGCGCTAGAACTACTTTTCGAGCAGAGCGGGTATGTACAATATTAGGTTTTTATTCAGAAGTAGAAGCCTATACGTGTATTGTTTAGTTTGAGCAGTAATTGAAAAAAGTTTGCCCTGTTCCCGCAGCCTCCTGTCAGGCGTTCCTGGATCGGTGTTTTTTTTTTGGGGGGGGGGTATTTTCTGACCAAACCGTAGATCGCACACAATAGAAGCTCCGGCTGGCAAGCCTACATATATCTCCGTGGAGCTTCTATTGCGTGCGATCTACGTTTGATCAGAAAATACCCCCCTCCCCCCAAAAAAGGGGGCTGTTCCCGCACAGAATAGCGTTGGTGAAAATGGCCCAATGTCGTGTGTTACTGCATGTATCGATATTTTTGGGCTGGACTTCGGCAGCTAGTGCAATTTTCATAGTTGATGGAGTTGACAGTCGTAGTGCTCCAAGAAGTCTGATGTATGAAAGAGCTAGAGAATGTGGGATCTAATGACCGCTAGTAAAGTAGGTCAAAAGACGTTTAGAAAAATGTGTGGTAGAAATGTAAACAGACCTGTCTGACACGGCTTCTCTATATTCTGAAGTTTAACTGTGCAGTAGAAACAAGTTTTGTGATACGTTTTTGTGCTTTTTCGTCTTTTATATCATACTTTTCGTTCCGCAAGACTGCCCGGCCGGTCCTGGTTTGTAAACGTGACCTCCGCATTATCGTGTCCTTGCAGCAAATGTAGCTTCTTGGTTAGGAAATCGGTTCTCACACATCCTTGTGTGGTATAACATGTCTTTTTCCCCCGGCGATTTCCAGCCTCACCCTGCCAGCTGGCCTGCGGCACATCCTCCTCCATCTGCCCCACACAGCTCCGGCAAACTCGAGCCGGCCGGACTGGGGGCCACGGCGCAGGCTGGCGGCTGCCCTCTTCCGAGGGCTCTGGGTGAGTGAACGTCGTTAGTACGTTGAGCTGGGAGGGGGAGAACTGTTATATATTTTAGAGACCCTGAGACAGCATGCCCCATCCATGATAGTCGAGATACCAGGCTACACTAGTTTGTTCTCGAGCAAACGCAAGAAAATTATCATCCCATGAAGGTCAGCTACATAATTCCAAATAATAATTTGTGTGTTGAGCAAAAAATCCTGGATAGGTTTTACTGGTAGTTTTGACGATAAAAAGTTCTGTAACAATGCGCATGGTGTTCACCCAATCTGATCTATGCTGGTTTCTTTTCTAGTATGGATCCGACAGGACGGTGGGGGCGGACTCCCGGGCCCCGGGGAGGGACACACCCACCTATGTCTACCCGGAAGAGGTTAGGTGGGTCATGCGGGCTCGATTCCCCGACGACCCGGTCCGCCTGTACGACGGGCAAGTTGAGGAGCAGCGGGCAGTACGTACATAAATTTGTATAAACTTTCTAAAAGTTGTGTCTAACCTTGTGACGGTAAATCTGAAGATAACTTGTGACTCCCCTCCTGGCTGGGAAGGCATCGTCTCGATCTGGAACCAAACTTTCTAGAAGTTCAGTCTAACTGCATTTGATATACTATACATCTGTCTAACTGCATTTGACATATACTATACATTTGTCTTCATGCATTTGATATACTATACATCTGTCTAACTGCATTTGATATACATGTACTATACATTTGTCTCTATGCATTTGATAAACATTTGTAGTAATACAGAACGTTGTGGTGGCATTTGAATCTCTAGACCAGTTATTCCTGGATGGAATTTCCTACATAAACTCATTATACATACACATAACAGTTATGTGAGAGTATATAAGGAAGAAAGTTATGCGACAGAAATATATAGTGCATCTAAGAACATTTTAAACGGGTTTTGTCATATGCCTGTATTACAGAATTTGGTACTAGTAATCTGTGCAGATTAGTAAGTTGCTGTATTGTACAAACATTTTTTTCCATTCCTGTGCAGGTCTACTTCGTTGATGTCGTAGATCTGGCCACGGCCACCTGGCCGTCCTGCCGCTGCGGGAGCGCCACTGGAACTTCCGGGGGGCCTGCCCGCCGCGGACGCCGGACCTCCCGCGCCACACCTTACCCCCACAAGCGTGGCCAGTAGCCGTAAAACTCTCGTAAAAAAACTGTGCCTTTTTGGAATGGTAAGCCATGGTAGGATGACAGTTATGGCGGTTTGGTCTACTCTCCAAGCAGAGGTTTGGGTTTTGGGTGTATTTTTAGCGTGTTTTTAGGCTTTTTTATAGGGGTTTCTCTTTTGCTCTGAATTTTTTTCCTGTTGGGTTTGGTAGGAAAAAAAATTCAGTGCAAAAGAGAAACCCCGATAAAAAAGCCTAAAAACACGCTAAAATACCCCCAAAACCCAAACCTCTGCTTGGAGAGTAGGTTTGGTCAGGATGCCATTGTTTATGCACTGTCTTCCTATCATGGCTTTACTTTCCAAACACAAAGCGATATCATGGAGGTATGAAGAGAGATATCTAAGTTAGATTCTAACGATACACATGTACATGTAGTTTTTTTTCCAAATTCAATTTCCGTTTTCATTGCTTTGTTGTTTACAAAATCACCGCAGATGTTTTATAATGTTTGTAATATGTTTGTATAATGTTGTTCTCCTCTGTTTTGGCTTTTAAAAATGTAGTCTTTTTATTAATACCATTTTCACCGACCCTACATTGTATATTCTGTACTATATTTGTACTATACAAATGGACATATATCGTTTTTTTTTCCAAATGTACATACAACTTTGCATTGACAGTAAAGGTAACTGAATTTGATATGCTCTTGTGTGCGTTTCAGTCTTCTTACAAATCTAAAATCACCCTTAGTGACATTCTGTTTTCCCTGGAGCAGTGTAAAATGGCTTATACTAGTAGTTTCCAGAACAAAACGCCATTAGGACTGCATCCAGGCTATCAAAACACGAGATGATCACAATCTCCATTCCATGGGCTAACCTAAAGTAAACAAGACCAACTTTGGCCAGACCGGAGAAAGCAGTTGTCACTTGCACAAAGAATTACTAATATCAGGCCAGCCTTCGTCTGGGTCTCGCGGAGACTCTCCAATAACGAATAAGTGTAGTATGATAGAGGTTATAGGTAACTATGGATGTAAAATACACTTACGACAATGACATGTTTCGGCAGAGCAAGAGCTCCCTTTAGTCTTTATAATGGCACTGAGCTTCTGAGTTCTGTCTGGAAACTCTTGGAGAAATTTGGCAATATGAACCCAGTAAATACATGCATTTTGTTGCAACATTTCCCTAAGAAAACCCACAAACAAAACCAAAACTTTTGAACACCTCTTGAATTTGACAATACATAAAACATACAGGATAAGCAAATAATAAGCCTAATACAATCGTAATCCAAGTGTTTGTCCTGACATTTTGTCCTACAAACGGGGTATCAGGAAATATTTCGATCTTCCTTCAAACGCCTGCTTGTAAATCAGTAGAATGTAGGTCACGTCTGCAGTGTTTATTTTACGCTTCCAGTGAGCCGTATGCGGGCTCGGGCCTACAGCGGTCGGCCGGCCCGGGGCCCGCGTACAAACTGGGGCCGGCTGAACGACCAGCATGCGCCAGACTACGATAGTGTGTAGTACTTCAGTCTATCGAGCCTTTTTGGTAGTACAGAACGAGTTTCTGCGTCCACATCTCATCGCCGCGTATGTATACGGCCAAGCGGACGGCCGCGCTTACGTAGAGATTTTTTTCAGTGGCCTTTCCACAACTAACCAAAAGCCGCGAACATAGAGTACAATATCGTCAAGGATGGGCCATTTAGCTGCACGCACACGCGACCACCATACGAAAGCCTACTTAACTACAACTGCGCCAAAATGAAAGTATCTGTCACCATTTTTGTCGCCGGCGCGGCACCAGGCTCTCTGAAAACAAACGTCCGCCATGTTTTTTTTATCAGCGGAAGGTGCACAGTGCGCATGTGCCGACTGGCCCCTGGTTGTTTTATCAGGGGATTTACGGCTGTCTCCGCGAGCGGACGCAACCCCCCCGAAATTGACAGGGAATAAAACATTTTCGCGTTTTCATAACTATTTGATGCGGAGAGTTAGGGAGATGCAAAGGTCAAAAAAATATATTTCACATACAAACGTCTCAACACAAAAAAGTTTTAAGGCTTTTTGAGAAGCCTGGTTAGCCGGGGCAGAAACCTTAAGACCTTAATGACCCCTAGTCCACAAGAAAATGTGTTAAATGTTGTAATTTCATTGATCTGTGCTATACAAAAAAAAACACATGAATTGTCCACATGCCAAATTCAAACATACATGCAGCATTTAGACCCCATGTCTGTCCTAGTACATGTACATGTACATGTATGTATGGATACACCTAGACTGATGTTAAGTGTAAAAGAACTGAATAGACTTGCCTTTTCTTGCCCAACACAAAGTTTCAAGGGTCCAATCACAGCATTGTCGTCGTCTGTCACATGTTTAGCTGTCCCAGGCTTGTCTGTCCCAGGTTTACCTGTCCCACATTCATCTGTCCTACGTTCATCTGTCCCAGGCTTGTCTGTCCCAGGCTTGTCTGTCCCAGACTTGTCTGTCCCAGACTTGTCAGTCCCGGGTTCATCTGTCCCACGTTCATCTGTCCCACGCTTGTCTGTCCCAGGCTTGTCTGTCCCACATTCATCTGTCCCAGGCTTCTCTGTCCCATGCTTGTCTGTCCCATGTTCATCTGTCCCATGCTTGTCTGTCCCAGGCTTGTCTGTCCCACATTCATCTGTCCCAGGCTTCTCTGTCCCATGCTTGTCTGTCCCAGGCTTGTCTGTCCCATGCTTGTGTGTCCCAGGCTTGTCCGTCACAGGTTCTTCCTTCCCTTCTTCCATGGCTTTGTAAGTCTCTTGGTGGTTTCAGCCTGATAGGCAGAGCCTACTGATGGCTCCAAGGAACAGCCTTGTCTGAAAAATTAGCAAGGACAGAACATCTTTTTAAAATTAAATGAGGACATTGCGACATTGGCAGGAATACAAGAAGATCTGGGTGAAGATATAATTATAACAGAATGATGTACAGTGCCTTTTCAAAATACATAGAAGCCAAGTCTAGTGGAAAAATAGACCTGAAGCAAAGACAACAACAACAAACGACATGGTAACTCTTGAAATGTTTGAGGTTAAGCTAATTTTGCTTTCTATCACAAAATCTACACTACTGTACAACAAAATTGTTTCAACCACAACCTTAAAACACAATTGCAACCAAACGTAAAACCTCCTACCTACTAGTAGCTTTCTATTCTACAAATTCTAATTTCTAATTCTACAAAATTTAACCACTACTGGTGTAGCCTGTCGTAACAAGACTTTGACTTGAAAACATTTTCACCCGGCCAGTTTTGAGGTTCTTCCAGTCCCTAAGGGCTCCCCTACACGTCATGGGTCAAACATACGTCATACAATGCAATTAGGCAGCAGTGTAATTTCAAGGAAGTGAGGTATTCTGAGGTCAGCAACATACTGTCAAACCTGTACTTGTGATCACCTCTACATAAAGACTATCTAGTCTGTCTATTGATATACTGTTCAGTCAAACCTGTACAAGTGACCAGCTCTACATAATGACCCCCTGACCACTGATATACAGTCAAACCTGGTCATGATCAAGTGACCAACTGTACATAAGGACCACCAGCGTGACCTGGCCACTGATATACAGTCAAACCTGTACTAGTGACCACCTCTACATAAGGACCCCCTTGGAAATTTGATATACAGTCAATCCTGTACTAGTGACCTACTCATAGGGACCACCTGGCCAATGCAACCGCTTTTTGGTGGTCCCTTAGATAATTTTCACCACTGACATATTAGCATTAAGAAACCACCTGTTAATGATATATGTTATCTTGTCACACTCACTATCCAGGCTCAATGATTATTCTGCTGCTGGTGTCCTTGCCACAGGGGTCGACAGCAGTCGGCTAGTAGTACAGGTATAGACCAGACCCAGTCAACCAGACCAGAATCTGATATTATCTTCGGCAGTACGTGTTAATGTACTAAGACAGAGACAAGTGGCGGGCTGCCATCAAGCCCCAGATGTATTGTGCAAGCACGTCTAACCCTCAGAAAACGGGGAACAACAGACAATAAACCGGACAGTGAGTGAGTGAGTAAGGTTATACCAGTTGTCTTGCTGCAAGTTTTCAGATAGTGTAAAGGTAAAGGCCTAGGTACGGCCTTGGTTAAGACAAGCATGTCACCACTAATTTGTGACAACATGTTGAGTTCAAAATGTACTCCTCCCAGGTCACTCGGTCATTCAGTATGCTCTATATATTATATATGTGTGTACTCACAAAGAAACCATTGTCAGGAATTGTAGGGATCCTACTTTTCCAACAAATGCTTACATGGAGATCACAATCAATCCTTCCAAATTAATAATAAAGGCTGACTTATTCCGTCATGACATCAATGGAGGTCCCTAGCTTACATGTAGTTTCCAAGCCTAATTTAGCTGCCATTCAGGCAGGAACTTATTAGCAACTGAATAAGGCTTGGTAACCAGGCAAGGAGGTCCCTATATAATGTTTGTGGAGAGCCACAATTTGAGCACGTTAAAGATCCCACCACACCGATATTGAAAAAAAGTAGGTTCATCACTGCGTTAGTGGATCAAACCTTAGAGTCTTATTGCCGCACTTTGAGCAGTTTCTAGGTACTGTCGTATGGAGGTCACTATCATAAGCACTGAAAGGTTGCCATTACAGACCCTTAAAATTGTAAACGCCAGTTGTAAGCTCCTCGCAATTCAGTCCCTGACTGCGAAGAGAGAGTAGTCAGCCCACTATATCCCTCATGAAAAGCTGCTAACGTTAGCAGGCCAATTTACTTATTATGTGCTATGATGCGACTGGTAAAACTGGTACCAAACAACAAGTTTGACATCCCCCCTGACTGCAATTTTTAATCAATTTAAATTTTAATTAATTTTGCAAGACTAATTTCCTCCTCACATATGGTGGCTTTTCACACATTCACCCGGGATTATACTCGTTTGGATTGGTTTTCTGATAGCCATCCCTCGACTGTCAGCAAAAAATGTAACATTAATACTGTATTAGGAATCAAAAGAAGGTACCTGTTAAGGCTGTTGCAATTTAATTCACCCTCCCAACCTCTGCTTGGATATGATTGTTTATGTATGAGACTTCAGTCTAAAACAGCCTTTGCCAGTGATCTTGCGATTAAAAATCCTTCACACTTACTTCGTACCATCATCCCCAGACGTACAACGCACACACCTGGCCACTCTCGCGGCAAATTCGTCTGACTATCACCTGACTATGCTTACGTTATTTTTATGCAATACTACTTCCCTGTTCCATATCATGTTGACTGGTCGACAGTGGAAGCGAAACTTACCGATATAGTGGTTCTTCGTCGTTGGCTGGTGTTAATAGAAGTCAAATACAACAGTTGCATGTGTTGACGACACCCTGTTTGATATGTGACTCATGCTTCGCCACCTCATGAGTTGTTTTGACAGTAAAACTTGTCGTGCAACTTTTCATGTGGGGTATGTGATCTGTAAGGTCAAGTGTCATCGGACGGGTCCACCCGTAGAAACCGCGGGGGTGGGGAGGGTGACGGGGAAATTTGTGGTGTAGAGAGTATGTCACGTGCTTAGTGACCGTGGGTTTTCCCCTTTTTTTGTACCGACGGATGAAAATATCTGGGGCTCAGTCAGAGGAATGTATTACACGTTAGCGTGAAAACCATGCAACGCAACGTTAACCCCATGTTTCCCAGTTTCTCGAGAAAATACAGGAATGGCAACAGTCATACATTTTGTGTAAATATTGAATGTCACATTTCAAAACCAGGGACCCGGCCGGGTAGCTGGAACTAATGAAGTTCAGAACCATTTAAAAAGTGCATCTCAAGAATATGTACCAATCATACTCATGACTACTTTTAATTTTGTACTTTTGCGCTTATGCGATCCCTGACTTCCCCCTTTAACACTTGAAACGTTTTGTGTGTTTTGTTTTCTTTTGTCTCATACTTCAATTCCGCAAACTGCCCAGCCGGGCACCGGCTTGAAAATATGACCCGGTCTGGCCATGGAATTATTGGCGTCAAAAGAGGCACGGCAAAACTTTTATGATGTATAACAGCCGATTACATTGACGAGATGTTCCTGTCAACCTTAACTCGTATAGATTTATTTATTTATTTAGCTATTTTTATGAAGATTTGCCACATTAGTTAAAGGATATTGACATAACAGGTGACTATCCCCTCTTCAAAGATGTCAAACCTGCGACCAGACTGTAAGCGTGTTTGAACCACTCACACCGGGAAGGTCCCCTACTCTTTTCGTGCGGCGCTGTTCTTTAACGTGCGTGGGGTGCGGCTCTTCCAAACACGAGAGCTCTATCTAACGTCCCTAACCGAAGCTAGGTACTCATTATACCAGAGTGAAATGAGGAAAGTCGTGTAAAGTGCGTTTCCCAAGGGCACAAGATCGGTGACATCGGGCAGGATTCGAACCCGGAACCTCTTGGGTCTATTCGAACACTCTACCGCTACGCCCCACGATGATCTTTTAAACTGCGACCTGTTGATATTCCTGAGTAAGAATAACAAATTATTGAATCGTATTATTAAAAGCCGTGTGAACCAGTTTAAATCCTTCCTGTTACTATTGAATGGATGCTCAAAATAAAATCCGACCGGTGATGGACTGCGTGCAAAACAAAGACCTCTCTAGTATCGCTGCCAATAATAATAAACTACTGAATGGAATTGATGTTAAAAATAAAAGAATAATCTAAACGGCAATGGGACCCCCAAGCCTTCCGTATCCTGCAGTGTCTGTCAGTAATAACTTTATTGCAAATTAATTCATGCCCAATGGCTAATCGCAAGTGCATCGGAAAAGATGGTGTGGAGTCTTCTTCTTCCCATTACGTGCAAACCTCCAGGGCTCCAGCACGGGGTATGAAGTGCTCGAATCTATTGGCAAAAAAAAGTTACTTGTCGCTTTAATTTAGCCTGGGTGCCATCCGATTTGTTCTGGGTTGCCGTTACAATCGGATGGTACCCAGGCTAGCTTTAGTTCCACTTAGCACATTATTTGTCCTCCTGAATTCATTCTCAGGCGCAATTGAGTTTGCCTGAAAATCATAACGGATCGGAGGGTCCAAGCTCTGCAGAGTAGTTTTGCCTAGCCTCCTGTGTAGGCCCCGCGGCGGTGGGGAAGAGTTTTTAACCGAGAGAAGGTCCCTTTCCGTGGGCTGAAAGGAACCTTCTCTCGGCGGCTATGTAGGATGGCCGGCTATATTAAAATAACGCGTTAAAAACTCTTCCCCACCACCGCGGGGCCTGCACAGGAGGCTAAGTTTTGCCAGTGACCCATGAATGCAAACATTCCAATAAGAATTTCACACAAGAATAACTTAACTTACCGTTCAGCGTCGTCGGCCTGCCTGAATTTACCGTTAAGCGTTGCCCATTAGGATCATCCCATCACGTAGACCCTCGAATGGCACTGTGAAAGGGAATACTAGTACTGGCGAGCTTATCTTGGTCTTTTTTTGGAAGCCTGGCTGGTTAGAGAAAACAAACGCCGAAACATTACGGTACGGAAGTTTGCAAGCTTACGCACGAAGTCAACAGTTCGAGGCTGAGCTTGCGAAGTTCCTCTTCGTGACCGTAAAATCAACCGGGACGTAAACAGGGAAAATTGGAGAAAAAGTCACGTGAGGAAGAGGGACACAAATATCCTTTACTGCTGAGTGGCCTCTAGTCTCTACGAGACTCCTTTGCAGGCTGACTAAATAGTAGAAATAGCGGCTTAAGTGTAGTTTGCGGCCGTAAACTACACTTAAGCCGAAATAGCCAGACTGAATCGCCCTAACTAACCGGCCAGGGGAGTTATAGCCGGCCATAGGGGGTCCACTTGAATATGCCTCTATGGTCGACTAACTCCCCTGGCCAGTTACATTCCTTTTTAGACTGATTTCTACTCGATACCAGCCTGCAAATGTGTCTGATGGAGACTACGGAATCCAGTAGATTTGCAAATGATCGCTGTAAGGTAACAAAAGACCGCAATGTTTAAACGTAACACATTGTGTACTCTGCTGTTGACTGAGCTAATCCCGGGTTTGGCAGTCAGACTTTAGGGAAGTCGTGTCTCAAATATTTACAAAGTTACACGCTACGGGTGAGCTACCCGTGTTGATTACACGTTTTATTGCTTCTCTGTTTTGTATCTGTATCAGAATAGCCAGTGTAACAACTAGCCCTCCATGGTAACGTAAACACACCAGCTTCTGAGTTCCGTATCTGTACAAAGTACATGTACATACAACCGGTAACACGTGTGTGACAACCCTTCAGAGTAGCACATCAGTTTCGCAGGAACGCGGCGCGGCGGCAGTTGGTTGTATTACACTGAACGACTTGTTACACCTAACCTTTGCACATCTAACTACTGTATAACACATCTAATTGTTTAAAGCGATCTAGTGGTGATGCCAGTACTGTACTTGGTGGCAGCGAGTTCCAATTTACGTCTAGGAGAAAAAACAGATTTTAAACACCTCAATCCTTGGTTGATAATTATGTCTGGTACTTGAAGGCATGACTATTTCTTTCGCAACAAAGGGAAATCACGCAAGTCGTGCTTTTTGTAGCTGTAGAAATTTAACAACAAACAAGGAAACGGATTCAGCTTCTCGTTTCAGCCTGGCGGGAAAGCGAAATTGAAAAAAAAAAATACTATTAGTCATTCCACTGTCTATACTATAGACTTAATGGTAAAGTGTATGATAGTACAGCGAAAATAAATCAGGAATACAGTATTGACTCTTTGCCTTCACTAGCCGTGGTGACTCTTGAATCGGGCATATGTTTCTGGTATTCGGTGAGCCGAGTACCAGCAAAATACACCCGATTCAAGAGTCGCCACGGCTATACCTTCACACATGCATTCAAATATCCTTCACATTAATTCTGACAGGATGTATTAAGCGATGAAGACACACAAGTGGTTTTTGTCACGATACTTTTATTACAAAATATAGTTCCTGACTATTGGAAGCCATCGTTTGGATAATACATGCCAGGTATCCGCCACGGTCGCCAGATGTTTGGAGGACGTAAGTAATTTATATCTTAATTGCATTTTCTTGTTTATTTCTCTTTTTAAATGTATAATACAATCATGCAACTTCAATTTCAGTTTAACACAGTCACGCACACATGCACACACGCACACATACACATTTTGTATATGACGAGACTTGGTCTCTTGGTACATATCTTTCCTACTCTTGGTTACATATTTCCAATATCAACAGTATTAATACAGCATATTAAAACATAAAGGCTAACGCCTGGCACTTTTCTAGAATACCAACATCTCTAGGACTTTTCCCCTCTCAGTGGCACATTTTTAGTTAAAGATAGATTACATAATAGAATAGATGAAATTGTAAAAGCCTGTAACTAGTCTATGCAACAACGCCATCTATCTTTAAAGGAAAGTACTGCAGTTTGCTTGGCAATTCCACTGTACAGCCAAAGTTTCCAAACACACTAGAAGGAAATTATCTAATTAATTAAACCAATTAGCAGCAATAGTTATCATTCCTGTATCCTGTATTGAATATCTATCATACAGATGCTGGCAATGAAGTATATTTTCCCTTAGAGGGAAAAAGGATTTTAAAAATCTGGATGAAATGATGCATTGATCCACTTATCAGAAGCTGATTCAATCTAAAAACTCTTTCACAACAGAATACTTTACCATAGACTTTCTTGGACAAAGGAGAAAAGAAACACCTCAGTCTATATAACCGTTACAGCAAAGAATTCAACATATACATAAAACAAACATACATACATACATACATACACATAAAACATACATACATGACATACAAAGTAACATATATTTTTTTAACTACTACAATATCAATATTGTTACTTGATTCTTCATGTGTAATTTAGAATTTTAAGAATTAAAATTTGACTATTTCAATGCATTGGTCCTTTGTGCAACAAGATATAATTCAGCCTCTGGCTGCAATTTTGTTTGATTGATAAACAATTTTGAAATATAGATAGATAGATTGATTGATTGATTGATTGATAGAAACAGACTATAAACATACTTACATATAATATTATATACAACATCTTTCTTACATATAACCAGCATAGATTTCCAGGTGACTATCATCTTTCCAAGATGTCAACAATCCTCATACGCTCACACTAAAAACATATTAGTCTTTTTTATATGTGTGGTGGGTTTTTAATGTGCTTGAGGTGTGGCTCTCCTCAAACACAGGATCCCCAGCTTTACATACCACATTAGAGGACGTTCCTAACTGAAGCTGTGTAACATTACGTATTTGCAACAAGTGAGTCAAGTGAGGTGTAAAGTGCATTTCCCAAGGGCCAAGCACCAGATGCGTGGCACGTTTCCCCCCAATGACCTAGAAACAATTCATCTTGAACTGTTGACCCTGAGCGAAGACAAAGATATTATAGTTTGACAAATTCAAAATTTTGACAACACATACATTTTGTACATACCAAGTCCAATTTCTTCTGTTGGATTGGAAAATATAGATTAAACTTGCGTTGTGATGACGTCTACCAACACAATGAACTTTCAAAATAAGATTTGGCGTAAGGGTGGCATTGGTGTGCCTAATCTGCATTTCATGTGTCTGTGCAAGTGTCTCATTTGCATGCTCGTGAGACTTAAGTGGTATCCTTACCAGGTTTGATGATGTTACCATACCCAGAAGTAATGATTAAGCAGGAATCAGAATGAAAGGTTGATTTTGTGCAGAGATGCGTTGAAGGCTTGATGAGAGGAGTTGGTGAGAGGGTTGTCCAGGGACGTGGACAGTCTGAACCCACAGTCCGTGATGACGTCCTTACGTTCCAGCTGGTCCAGGATCTTGTACAGGTTGTCAAGCTCATAGATTAGCTCTCTGTTGGTGCTGTTGTCCTCCTTGTCGGACAGAACAAACTAGTAGAAAGGTAGCATTTGCAAAGCAAATGCATGAAGTTCACCTTCACATGGTCTAGCCTAACTCTGTTCTTACTCAAACACATTCATATACTATATAATATGGTGAGCAGCCCCTCCAACTCTGTTATGTCCTCTGATTTTCAGGAATCAGAATGAAAGGTTGATGTTGTGCAGAGATGCGTCAAAGGCTTGATGAGAGGAGTTGGTGAGAGGATTGTCCAGGGACGTGGACAGCCTGAACCCACAGTCCGTGATGACGTCCTTACGCTCAAGCTGGTCCAGGATCTTGTACAGATTGTCCTGTGTGAAGTGTGTGGGCTGCCGAGCCTCCCAGTCCTGCAGGAGCAGCTCCGTAGGAGATCTCCCCTCCTTGTAGCTCACCTCTTCTATCTGCTTCAGGGCCTGAGCATTGGAATCAAGACTTCATGAAAACTAGAAGGTAACATTTGCAAAGCAAATGCATAATGTTTACCTTCACATATGGTCTGCTCTGATAATTCTTACTCAAACACATTCACATATATGGTGACAGGAGTCTAAATCCCTCCTACTATAAAATTGCAACATTATGTAACCCAACACCATGGTGAGAGACAGTCTGGTGGACCAGGTCATAGGTCACTGTTTTGGAGAAGAAGAAGAACTTCGGTAAACATGAAAAGGTCAAGACAAAGATAGCAAAGCATTTTTGATTGAGGCCATAGGGATTGTGGGTTGCTTCTCAACTGTATCTAGGGCAAGGTACATGTATTGGAAGTCGGAGCCCAACCCTCTACTTCCACTGCCTTTTACCTCGAGTCCCCAACCAAAGTCACATACCCATTTTACACCTCGTGCTACATGTATACATTTCCTACTGTTATATATTGAAGAACTTTATTGCACGACAATTGCACATGGTACAATGTATGAGAAGCTCATTCTCAGCTTTGTCCCAACCTAAATCTCCACCACCTGGGTGGTGTGAGGAGAGTTGTGTGAAGTGCCTTTCCCAAGGACACAACATCTAGCCAAGCTAGAGGCCCATTCTAGAAGTCTCAGCTTTGCCCCAACCTAAATCTCCCACCTGAAAGTCCAGCCCAATTTTCTCCACCATCATCTTCCAGTTGTTGCCCAGCGGCAGGTTCCAGTCCAGCATCTGGCACAGTTTCAGTCTCTTGGACACCGGCAGCCACTTGCTCTTGGCCTTGGGACTGTGCAGTTCGTAGATGGGCTCTCCACTGGTGCTGTTGTCCTCCTGTCAGGATAAAAAGAATAGCATACATCACAATTTTCAACAGTACTTTAATATATTTGCAGTTTTTGCTGTCACTTCTGTAAAGTGTCTGTCCTTGGTGCTGAAAATGTTCTGCTGAGAGTTATGTTGCTTTCCAGTTGACTAGCTAGCAGGGAGATGGTTGCTTGTGCTGTTGTTCCAAATACCATGCCATCAAGTGATCATTGGACATTGGATAGAGAGATTTTCTTCTTACACAACAATTGTGTTTCTCCCCAGAGCTTACGTTTCAATGCCTGAGCTCTGAGGAAGATGCATGATATGTACATGAGAAACATTACTGTTTGCTTAAGAAGACAATCCCTATATCCAAGGTTCATTGATCACTTGATGGCTTGGCAATTGGTTATGGTGAACAACAGCACAAGCGGCCATCTCTCTGCTAGCTTGTCAACTGGCAGCAACATATAACTCTCGGCAGAAAGTTCTTAGCACCAAGGACAGACACAACAAAAGTTTCAGTCTTGATGTCAGTACACCATTATCTATTTACTAATCATCAATTCAGAAATGACTGCATTCAGCAAAGAACTAACCACCAGTGCTGTTACCACAATCCCATTACTATTAAGAAACACAATTATCTTGTTGTAGTACACCATACAAAAGTCCCTGTACTTTTGTTGAGTCAATGAAGAATCGTGTAGCATCTTTGTTCCTTACATAAAGCTTGAAATCTCCATGTACACTGAACGTGACATCTCTCTTCCCCAGGGAAGCGACGATTTGGGCTTGAAACTGGTACTTGTTGGACTCTTCGTGTAGGATGGTCACCTCCTTGTGACACACAAAGTCGCCGTTGTCTGCCAGAATTTGAAGCCGTTCGTATGGGAGCACCTATGTGGGGCATAGTAGTTGTCAAAACAAGTTACTTGATTATTTATTTATTGATATTTAGATTTAGATTTACCATGATGCTTTTGGAAGAATTAAGTTAAACATACCAGTCGTCTATCACCTCTTCAAAGATGCAAACCCTGAGACTATACTGTAAGATTTGAACCATTCACACAGGGAAGGACCCCTGCTCTTTTAGATAAGTGTGGCAGGTTATCTTAAATGTGCCTGAGGTGTGGTTCTCCTCAAACACGGGACCTCCGGTTTTACATCCCATCTGAAACTACGTCCTTAGCCAAAGCTCGGAACTCATTTTCTTTTTCAACTGAGTTATGTGAGGAAAATAAGACAAATGTTAAATGCCTTTCCCAAGGGCACAACACTGGGGCCTGCCAGGGATTTGAACTGACATACAACAGAGTCTGCAGTGTTTAGGATCAGAGGCTTGTCTAAGCTCAGGGGAAATGTGACTTTGTATGACTGTATGGCATAGGTCTATGAAGTAGGGAAACATTGATAAGATCATACCACAGTTTGAGGTGTGTCCTTCAGGCTCCACCCCTTTGACTTGATGTTGACTGTCAGGTTCATGTTTTCCCCCTGGCCGATGGCAATACTCCTGGCTGGACACACCACGTAGCCTTTCACCACCTTGTTCTGCAAGAGTAAAAGTGTTCAACGTTATGTACATGTTTAACCAGCTGGCCTGCTTAACTTGATGTAGAATGTTTGTTATAATAACATTTCATAGATAATGCCTGAATGTACATAATATACTGTCATAACCCATACAGTGAACTCCCTTACAACTCGCTCTAGATCACTAGTGTAGTCCAGGAGGAGAATTCTGAATAAACTTGTGTTCTAGCCCACCCTGCATAGAACCACTTTGTCCCAGCTAGGCCCAACCACATCATGCCTCAAATGATCAGGAGACATCAAGGTATGATTGTATGGCACTGGCCAAAGTATGTACTAAGTGGGCTATTTTCTCATTTGAGAATCTCCTCTTAGACCACAGGGACAATGGCACAATGTTCAAACAAAATTACTACATGCAAAATCAAAATGAATGTTGTACTTACAACGTAAAAATGAAACCACAAGTTGAACACAACTGTTACTGGGTCAGTGTCATGAAGGATTTCAAAATACTTAGCCATCAATACATACAGCTGAGGACAAGACATTTCAGTTTGTATTTACCAGCATTTTGAGGTCCTTATTTCCCGATATTGCCACCATGACGGTCCACAGACCTCCAACTGAAGGGTTGTCGGCAAACACAGCCATATTCAGTCTGAAGGCAACCTCCTGTCAATTATCCAATTGAAAAAAATGGAAAAGATGTTTCTTAAACAATTTCTTCATGAAATTATTGCAGATAGAAAGAGCAGTGCAACAGTGCTGTTCGAGCAATACCAACTGGCCAGTCTAACTGGTCTGAACCATTTAGCCATGCAGTTAGTGCACTGGGTTCTTGAGCTCACGGCCCGAATTCCAGGAGCAAGGAGACTGTACTACTCGAGCCTCGGTGTTTCAGCAGCATCAGAATTTCATTACGCCAATTATGTGTCATGCATGTTACTACAAGATTAAAACAGTGAGTAAGAAGTCTTCATTCTTCAATATGAAGTGAATCATGGTATGTGTACAATAATGTATGTACACTACACTTCATACATTGTCGTTACCTCTGGTTCTGCTACATTCCTCCAGTACTGGGAGTACTCCACACTTGGCTTAAAATGAATTCCTGCACAACCAACAGGAAAAATGCTTTAAAATTTACAAAATATTCTGTTACTCCCGAAAATAGTTTCATCAGGTTGGTAAAACTTAAGAGATAGGGGAATTCTTTTTACACAACCAAAGAGTCTCACCTCGCTGACGTTTCGGTGTCTATCAGACACCTTCTTCAGAGCTTCTGACTGGAGTACTGCATCTCGCCGCTATATGTAGCCGATGTAGGTGGCGCTTTTGCGGCGAGAACACTATCCCAAACATGGCTTAGTTTGTACCCCCCCTCGTCCCGGTTCATTACAGGGGTTGACTTTCTGATCCAAACTGCCTCCTTGATCCAGCGGGTTCTTCTATTGTCTTCTCTGTCTATAACTTTCGCCCCCTCCCAGTCAATTACGCAGTTGTTTCTAGCAATGTGATCTGTCACTGCTGATTTCTTTTCTTCTTTTTGTGCATGTCTTTTCTGTGATCTTGTGTACTTCACTGTGTCCATGTTGTCAGCTTCCTTCTTGTGTTCTTCTAATCTTGTCCC